TTGACAGAAGGCAAACCAAGGATTGAATGTCTACAACAAGACCTGAATATATTTAAAAACAAAGAACATCCACCTCCTCAGGGCAAGCTTCACACAAAAGTTTAAAAGGAGGAACGAGCAATTCAACACCTCGCACCTCTAGGGAGTCATTAGTCAGTTGGACCAGATGGGTCAGTCATCTCAAGAAAAGGTTGAACAAGAAAATATTTGAAACCACCACCCCAAGTCCACTACTGACTGTATGCTGCGAATCGTGGCGATGCCTTCATCCTTCGACCTTCGACTTGACACTGGTCCCTTCGACTTTGTGCTTTGCCATCTTGACATATGACATATCTTGACTGGTCCCTCAAACCCTATCAGCATGTCCTATCATCTTTGAGCAAAGTTTCACCCCTGAACGGATTTGGAACACATCATCCCGAAAGACACCAAAACACGTGTTTGATCACTGCATCCAGTAACTCACCATAATGTGGCCACTTGGATTGCACCTGTTGGGATGCATGACCAAAGTTGTCAAGAAAGATTCCCAAGTCTAGAGCAGCGTACCCAACCGAACCAACACCATTGCCTTGCAAGTCCCCTCTTTTGTGAACAGGGGACCTCCAGTCCCTCGCACCATTTGGGGACCTCAAACGAGTCATCCAAACTAATGTCGACTCTTGATGAATAACCCCCCACATGTTGATTGAAACCACACCTTCATATGGGGTCACTTTATGAACCAGTCTACAACCCGCGGAACGGCTTTTTTCCGCGCAGTCTACCTCTCGCCTCCGGCGGGAACGGACTGCTCCTTGGGCAAGCGCGCCCGCGGACCCAGCTCGGCGCGCATGGCGTTCAGCGTCTCCAGAGCCAAATCCAGGTCATGGGAGCGGATCGAGGCCTGCTGCCGCTCATCCGAACCGCTCCGTACCCGGCGTACCGGCGTGGCTTACTTAGCGTTGGCTGACCGATCCGGGGCCTGGGGCGAGTCCGGATCGGTCTAGTGTATTTATTGTAGATGTACAATGATGTACAAATGGTACCAATATGTGCAGATGTATCATGGGCTGCTCTTACAGTAGCTTTTGGTTTCCGTCGTTCCGCTGGCTACAAGCGGCCAATAGCGGCCAGCGAACCCTGCCAAGTTTCAGTAACAGCGGCGTTTTGTTTCATGTTGTTTCTACATGTGCGACCCTGGGGCTCTTGGCAAATCTTGGCAAACCGTGACGGCACAAGAACAAACACAATTATCCAGCAACAATATCAGCAAAATGGTCAACACTAGACTATGCTAGGCCAGGCTGTATTATGATGTTTAGAAGATTATGCACCATTAACTCTGGCATCCCAGAACCCCCCGACTCGCTTCGGTGGCCCGAATCGCATTCCGCGAAATCGCACCCAGGGACCTCCACCAGGGCGGTGTAGCAACTCAAGTCCAGGCTAAGGCCGTGTTGTTTCATCTCCTGCCGTCGAGATTGAACAGAAAGAGGCCGGAAAGGACTATCGCGAAAAGCTGGTCAAACTCGCGCTTTTTGGACGAATGGTTTTGTAAATCATTGTATTCCTGATTGCTATATTATATTCCATGCATGTTCCTATATGACAGGGCTTGACACAAAGCACTATCTTATAGAACACTATTTGACTAATTTATAATACGATCGTATTAAATACATTTGGACACTTATACAGCCGGTGTTGGCACACACAGACACACACACCATTTGGAGTTTGGAACTACCCTGGTCATCTACTGTTGTCATTTGCCTTCGGTCGGTGACCTCCGATGGAAAAGCGACCAACAGTTTTCACAAAGAGAGAATTGCGATTCATTTGCTTGCATTTGCTGAAAGGAAGCGGAAAGAATCAAGAATCGTCCACCAGGAGGGGCGCAGGTCTTCCGAGCCCCTTGAGGGAACCTCCAAAATCACCCGTTGTTCCGCCCAAAAAACGCGGGATGCGGGCGGCCCCAGTGACTCGGGGGGGCAAACAACTCGGTATTTCTGTCGATCAGGATCCAGCCATTACGCGCCGACCCTGGCCAGCTGAAAAAGAAAACGGTTGGCCGGCTGACCGCTGGATCGCTTTTGGCCTTGTGTTCTTTTTTGTTGCGTGTTTGTCCCGCGCAGCACCACTCTACGTCTACCAAATCAACGTCAAATCAACCTTCTTCATCCCTTTGTCCCCGGTCTCGGAAGGCAAACCATTGGATCGCTTCACACCTGGAATTCACACATATTCACACCTCCTTCTGTTCCCTTTCATCACTTCTGTCTGGTGTTCGGAGTGACACCATCTCAAGGGACTGGAACACCCCGGTGAAGCCTCACAGAGTGGCCCGGTGAAGCCTCTCAGAGTTGGCCAACAAGACTAAAAAGACGGCTGTCACCTATAGTGACAGGTGGTTGTTTTGAAAAGGTCGGTCCTCCGGTCGGTCCTCCGAAGACTCATCGGGTGATGTTGATTATCCCCAAAAAAGATCCTTCTGTAATTGTCTGCGGGCTTCATCCCCCATTGGCGGCAGATGTCTATCAGTTCCCATGTTGGGGTTGCTTTGATTCGTTTTTCTCCAGTGGGTGGATGTGACAGGGGCAATCCGGACACCCCTCCAGTTCCAGCAACCAACTCCAGTTCCTCACTTGACCCCGTTGGAATCACATGGTACCGGGACGACCTCCACAGGCAAAATTGCCCTAAGAATCATTGGACCCGACCACTTCTGGAGGATTTTGACCCTGCATAGCAGGGGGTTGGACCCGAACCAAACCTTCACCTTTGAGGGTCCTTGATTCTTAAGGTGGTTCTAATTGGTCCCACTCTTCTTTTGCAAGTCCCTTTCGCAACACTTGGAAAGTTTGGACCGCTTCTCAATGGAGTCTACTGCACACGGAGTCTCCGGTGTCTCCTCCGCCGCCTTGAAAGCCTGCGCCAGTTTTCCGCGCTTCCCCAGGTTGCTGATGAGCCGCAGGAAGTGGCGCCTCTCCTCCACCTCTGGGCCCTGAGCAAAAGTGAAACATAAGAATAGGGACTGGAATGGGAGACAGAACTACACATGCTGTTGTGCTGCTGAAACACAGTTGACTCGTGCATATATCATCATATATGTGCATGTTTGTTGCGCTTTGTACAGAATTGAAACAGGACAGGTGCTCTTGCGAAATGTTTCCCCCACAAGTTTGTTCCGCCGCGCAAAACATGAAGCAAGAACACGGCGTTTCTTTTTCAAACAATGACTCGTCTGGCATCTCGTGGCCCAAACATCACCAAACGATGCAACAAATACGCGTGATCCTCGCGTTTGCGCGGTGTGGGGGGGGTCCTTCTGCAGCTTCTCCACAGCTATAAGGTGCCCACTGTGCTCCTGGGATCGTCCAACGAGAAGACATACCGACATATCTAGGAGATTAGGGTATATCCCATTATACCTGGGTACAAATCACATAGGTCAAGGAAGGATCCTTCAGGATAATCTATATATATAGGATTAGAGATGTGCCTTAGGCTGGGGGGGCTGGTGTAATCCTGGAATACTAGTATGTTAAGGTGTCAAGTGACATAAGGAATATAGTATGTTTTCAACATCCCATGTCATTCAAAGGTAGTATACCAGTAACAGTCGATGATTATGGTTACAGTAAGTTGCAGGCCTTTCTCAAAAATAGTGATAATTCTTTACCGACTGTTGCTGAGATTACTGGTAATGGGCTACACGGCCACACACATATCCCATGTAAGGAGTCCAAAGTCCGGTCTAAATCTTCGTGTCCAGATCTGTGGATGTTCGTGTCCAGATCTGGACAATCCTTCATGCAAAGCCTTGCACCAGCAATGGAATGATCTGGAGAAACCATCCTTGGGATCCCAAAGCGACTTTGCGAGAACAGCAACATAGTATAGATACGTCAAAGACTCGGATGCAACAGGCATATTTGCCGACCAATCAACTTACTGTAGTTGTCCCATGGATTCCATATAGTCTCTGGTATAAACATGTATTTTAACTGAATTGAAAAACAACAATACAGTAAGTACTGTAAATGGCACATCAACAATCCGCCTACATACCAGCCCATCAGGTTCTTCCAGTCCCAAATTCTCCAAATCCTGGCGGATTTCACCGACGGCCGAATGGAAGCCTTGCCCGCCGTCGACACAGCACTGGCGGCTTCACGCTTCGCCTCCGAGGTTCCAAGGTGCCGCTCTGCACGCTATGAGTCCACCATTTGTAGTCTGTGCCATCAGGACTTGCACTCGACGTCATGGCAGAAAACGCTGACTCCGTGCGACGGCGCGCCGAAGTGAAGGTGCGACGTGAGGAGGAGCACTGCGAGGAGCACTGCCGTGGCGAGCGAAGCGCGAAAGCGAGACGTTTTTGGAGGTGGGTTTGATCATTCTTGATTGCTCTAGACTCTACGATGCTCTGACTCTAAGTGATTCTTGGTGAACTCTGAATTGGGCTGAGACGGTGTGAATTCGGATGAATTCGGACTCCAAAACTCTGCCGGACCATGCATGGTTGCTAAAGTCGGGGAAGGATGAGATGCTTCCTTGGCGATCGTGTTCACTCTGTCCACTGTACTTGAAGCTTCTTGTTGAACATGTCCAACATGTCCAAACTCGATAGTGTTATATGTGTTCACTCTGTCCAACATGTCTGCAGCTGGGAGCAGCGGGTGGAGCCAAGCCTGCTTGAGTCTGCTGGCTTTGGAACAGTTGATGCTTCAACATCGCCGGCACTGCGAAGCAACTGACTCGCCCGAATTGGTAGACTCTGATTGCCTCGAATCTGATAGTCAAATCAACATCCCAAGTTGGTCTTAAATGTGCTGTCCAGGAAACCGGGAAAAAAAGGACACACAAACAAGTACAACAAGAAGGGGATTCATGCATAGGAAAAGTAAACATCACCCGAAGCAAAACCAGGTGATCCATCCAAGTGCCAATTTCCTAGCCGCCTCCAGAGCCTGCCCCAAACCCCACACCACACCCACCACGCACGCTCCAATCGCCTCCCGAGCGCGCTTGCGCTCCAGAGTCGACGTGGACTTTGCATCGTTCTGTAGGTCTTCCAGCAAGTAGCATCTGAGCAGCTCAGGGTTCTGGCAGGACCCACGCCTTGAGAAAAACAACAACAACAACAACATTGTCAACAAACACACCCCAAACATTGCTAGCTGTTCTGCAACTTGGTCTCGCCTTCAAGGTGGGAACCCTACAGTACTCCCTGAACAAATGATCCAAGCGGGGGGGAACATCTCACTTCTGGATTTCCATGGTCTATCGACTCCTGAGGTTCATTGGCACGGGGTCGTGACGGTCACCGGTCGCCTGTTCAAGTCCTCCTCCACGTAGCGGGTGTTTTGCTGAATCGCTGCCACGTTGGACAGGAGGACCTGCGTCGTGGGAGTCGTCTCTCCAGTGAAGGCATCGTCATGGGAGCTTTTTGATGTTTTTGGGCCCGATTGCTGTCATCTCTTCCGTGTTGGTTCCAAATCATTCATCTTCATGTCATATATTCATCTCTTCACATACACTGTCGCAAAACAAAAAAACATATATAAGCATTCACTGTCCCTATCTGTCCCTTCATGTTCATATCTCTAAAAATATATTCACATGATGTTCGTGACATGCAAAGACATGAACACACACTTAGACAAAGGTTCATCCAATTCCATAATCCACGCGGAAATGATTTTTTGGGAACGGAAAGGTGCAAAAGAAACTCCTAGAGACGGAGTGTGACACACACACACACTTCCTGACCATCGACGAGTCGTTCGCTCTTCATCTCTTTATCTCTCCACGACGAGTCGTTGGGAACGAACGGCCTCGGTCTCGAAGGACGGACGCTTCACCAGCGCAGGGTTCCTGCCGACACCGGAACGACACCGGTGGTTCTTCATCCGTTTTCGTGGCCTTTTGTTCCATGGGATTGGAGGGCGGAACATTCAGGTTAGGCGCAAAGTATCGATAGTTGGCACTTCTGTGGCAAGCATCCTCACGAATGTTCACCTCCTAGGCAGCCATCAACAGTGAGTATGAGTTCTGTACTAGATTCGACATTCCTTTTTTTGCACTCACAATCAGGGTGTTCTGAGTTCCATCCTACAAGTAGGGGTTCGGCTGAGTGTCCAATCCCCTTTCAGGCGTGAACAAGGCTTTGACAAGCCGCGAGCAAAACTCCCACGAGCAGCGACCTCCTGCCAGCACCTATAAAAATAGGCACCCACACAAATGACCATCTTCGAGGGCTTCCAGGTCGTTTAAAAGGATCACCGGGTTCAAAACATATACGTATCAGTCAGTTAGTCAGTCAGTCAGTCAGTGGTTTCAATCATCCCAAGTCAAAGTTGAACATTAATGACATATCTGAAACCATGACCCAAATCAGTATTAGTACATCACTATGTAGGAGTATACTTAATTTAGGGTACAAAGGCCATCAAAGGCCCTAAAATAACAGGAGCCATGGGCTTTTGAGGATCGCCAAACACCCCAGCCCGCCGTTGAGACCCAGCCCGCCTCGTTCGTTCTCCTGCGGCGGCGCGAACGAACGCGGATTCCGCCCAGTCGCGCGCCTCATGAAGTGCTTCGCCAGGTGCACTCCGTTGGTTTCATTGCCATGAGTGCCTTGCAGGCGCGCCCCCAACGAAGTTGGGCGTCGATCTCGATGCCCTCCCTCGGTGAGAAATGCAGCATTCTTCCAGATGCTTCCAGGATTCAGTGTGGTGCAGTTTCGCACATCAAAAAGGGGAGGCCAGTACAAGCATGTCCAATGTTCAACTGATGGTTCAAGGCTGTGGAGGTATACGCCGAGTAGAGGAAAACGAAACGGGCGGCGTCTTGGACCGCTGATCGTCCTGCGAATCAAATCCAGCACACCGCTCGGGCGGTGCGCTCTGAATACACAAGAGACCTCTCTTCAAGGGCGGGTGCTCGTTGATGCTGGTTCAGGGCTCCAAAGACAATCCACCAAAGACATCCAAAGACTCCCTTGAAAAGATATTGCAAACATCAACGATCTGTCGATGATAGAATCCTTCTTGCACCAGGGAAAGCATCAGCCCCTACTGAGCCCCAAGTGCTATAATGACTTGTCCGGCAATCCAAGTCTGGTGTGTTAAAACTGATGCCCCACAAACATCCCGAAACCATGGTGTGCCGCATCATGTGTGGTATACGAAACTCTGCATGTTGGGGTTCTGAAATTCTGGTGGTAATTACAGAGGACATCAACTAACATCACTGATCTCCAGGTTGACTTACACTGACCCTTCACTGGTCGGTCTAAAAATATAGAGGAACATCTCCACCCCCCCAACTAAGGTACTCCCTTTGAATTGGTACATCGCCGGACCCTATCCACTTTCGGATCGTGGAACTGGGTTCTATGGGTTACATGACCCAGACACTCCATGTGTGCCATATACGCCAATCAGTTGGGGTGGTTGTTTCAGGGGGTCAATGGGGCGGCAGTCCTATGGCAGTTCCAGACGGGTCGTGTCTGGGTTACATGATTGGAGCGGGACTTCACCGAAGAGCGAAACAACTCGCGCCTCCCACGATCGCCACCGTCTTCACACTCGAGGAAGGTAAGGTACGCCGCCGCTTCCAATCCATGGCAGCAGACGGTTACTGGGGGGCGAGTGGATCTGCTTGGAACGACGTGACTGCGATCTGAAGGAGCTGGGAGAGCTGGGACTTGGGACTTGGGTCCGCAGCTGGGAATCCCCCACGAATCCCCCACGATGGTCCTGAAATCCGGTACGGAAATACTTTGTGTTGGACCATTCCCAGTTTACGTAATTGGGATGTTCCAACTCAATCCTGTGGGACCTCAACTGTTCGTCTGGTCGTGGGGACCCGAACCATGAACCACGACAGATCGGTCGATCGAGGGCCTCGGTCGTAAGGATTCGGTGGACGGAGCGGTCGGCCAGAGGGTCGCAAAGCCTAGTGTGGCGACCCGGGTCGCGTAGATTGGATGAACTAGAAACAACATGAAACAAACATATCACATATGTTCATGTTGTTAACCAATAAGAGAATCCTCAAGACGTATCAAGAAGTATACGATCCTCACAGGTTCTCATCTACCACTGGACATCTCCGGTTGGAAGCGCAGTGATTCTGTGGCTCCGACTCGAGCAAGCTGGAGGCGGCAGTGAGTTCCACTCCGTTGTACAAAGAGGAAAGGGTTTGTGAATTCTGTCGCCATGTATTATTGTGTCTTACCAATTTAAACCGTAACAGTCATTTAAAAGGGTCTATTACATAACTCTATAGTATGTATTGGTAAAACCCAACCCATGTAGTATTCAAAAACTAGATTATTTGAATTGGCAAAAACAGGGTAGCGCTGCTGAGGAATGGTCGTGACAGAACTGCTTGCTGTTGGCAAAAATCTTCCCAACAAGTCTCTACGCTTGTGTCACGCTCCCTCTGCACTCTTGGCATGTCTGGGTGGCTTTTCTCATTATAACTCTAAATCAAAACCGTCCATGAAGGGCTGGTTGACGGTTTGGGTTCTGGGCTTTAAGTTGCGCCAAGAACTTTGACAACAACCATTGAACCAACAAAAATGATATATATAATATATAAATAATATATAATGATTATGTGCAACTTCGCGAGAAAACTACGCAACAACGTGCCTCAGGGCGTATCGTGTGAACCATGTTGCCCTTTCACGCACTTGTCCCCAGTGAACAGGACCTGGTCTTAGTAATATATGTGTATGCTATTTCTATCTATTTCTTACAGCTTAGGATACTTATGGGTCCCAAAGCTTTGTTTTTTTTCACCCGAACGCTTCTCCAAAAAGGCTTTTGTTCGGTCCGCGTCGGGTTCCCTGCGTGTTTCCAGGTCAAAAAGAGTCCCACAGCATGCCTGTGGCTTCAAAATCATCTACAACCCCGCAGGTCTTAGACTCCAAACCGTGCGAACATCGTGGCATCCGGGCACTCCTGGCATCTCCTAGCAGTGCAGTTTTCTCTTCAACTTGTGGTTCTGAACTGACATCCGGATGTATTTGAGAAAGAAAGAAACACACTTCCAGGCATTCCTTGGAGGGCACTGTGTGGAAAACCCGGAATCACACACATGTTTTCAGAAGTCTATCCCCCTCACTGGGGGAAGGTTCAGTCAAGGATCCGGATATTGTTAGGAAATTGATCCAAAAGAGAAAGGACCCGGATTGAAAAACACATCCCTTGTAGTTTATATGTTTTTTGAATATTTGGCAATCCCTTGCCAGTCCAAAATCTCTGAGAATCTGTGATGTTCTGTGCTTTCATCGCCGTGTTCAGCCCTGGATATTCGGTGTTTTGTTGTTTCTGTTTTGTTTTCGTATGGAGGGGTGCCAGGAACCTTGACCTAAGTCCTGTACACTGTACACTGTAGATCACTGTAGGATACCTTGTTGATACCTAGCAATCTTGACTTGATAAAGTCTTTTCAATGAACTACAGTACATAATTCCTTGATTTCGTTTCCTCGAGCATCTTTGTGGCGGCCCGAGCCCCCAAGCCACCCTGCTGCTTCACAGGATCTTTTTCTTCCGCCGGCTCCGAGAGCGGCTGCTCCGGTGACTTCTGCTTCGGCTACAGCTGCGGCTTTGGTAGCGCTGCGCATGGGTCCGGCTGCTTGAGGAGCTGCGGCCTCTCGGAGCCAAAACACCATGGATCCATCTCAGGTGAGAAGAACCAGTCTAGACAAGCTTGTTCTGTGCTGGAAGAAACATAGCGAAACCCTAGCTGAAGAGTTGGGTTCATTGAAACTTACGCTCTGCGTTTGGGATTCTTTGGGGTCAAAGGTACCCAGCAACTGTCGACCCTGAAAATCACCAGCTTGTTCTTCGGGATTTCCACGGAGCTGTTGGTTAGAGACCACTTGGTTCGTGACCTCACTATGGTCCTTGAGTCCTTGACCAATCACTTTGACTTTGACCAACATCTAAACGCTTTGAAGCTCACATCCCTGATTCCATGCCGACTCTCTATCTTTGATCGATGTAAAAGGCAGTCCATTCTAATTGGGCGGGTTTTTGGCCACCCCACCGGTCATTCCAACGCTTCCTGAGGTCTCACACCGGCCTCTGAAAGTATCAACAAGTGAACATGACCGTCTTGGGACACTTTGAACAAGTTCCGAACCGGATGCATGCATAATCATGCATATCTGTAGTTTTTGGCCAGCACACCCTCCCCCATCCCTACATTGAAATCTATGGAACTCTCTTCTGGACAAACAGCGGCTCCACCAAGCACGGTGGATCCTCTCCGCGCCTTCCTTGGGCTCCTCTTCCAACTCGCGGCCCCGGCGCCGTCGGCGACGACGGCCTCGGCATCGGTTCGAAAGGCAGTTCCATAGAATGAGGTGCCAAACGAGCGGAGGGTTTTCGGGGTGCCCATATCCATCCCCGGACTGGTTGCCACTCAATTCCGACATGGAACTGGTGGAAATAGTTGCTGCTCACCATCGAGGCTTTTCGGGAGATTCTTCCATCTGCGCATAGAACGAACGTCCATTCGAAATGTTGGGACACATACTGCTCACACGAGGACAGGTCATGTGCCTGCACCTATAGACATTCTGCCCGCACCTCAAAACATTTTGGCCGAGCCACGGCCTCTTCGATTGGGGCTTCCACTCCGCCTAAGCCACGCGCGCGGAGGTGTAAAACAAACTGCAGCACCTATGAAATATGAGATCTATGAGATCTCCCTGTTGTGTGGAAGAGCAGTTCAACTGAAACACTTGGGAGAATATCCAACACCATGAGAAGAAGAGGTCTTATGTGCGAAAGAGGTGATGCAGTGCAGGAGTTCTTATAGTTCTTGCAGAAGTTTCGTAGTTCCTCAAACCATCTGTAGTTCCAAACTTTGCCAAACAAATGCTGGTTGTGTCGAAATCGGGGCCTGACCGCCATCCACATGATTGCATGATTCTTCCTACCCAAACACTCCATGTATGCCATATATGCCTACATTGACCCCTGAAACCACCCCAATGTAGGCGTATATGGCACACATGGAGTGTCTGGGCATTAGTCCAGGATCTTCACACTCCTTGGATCTTTTTCGGAGTGCGATCTCATGATGCCCTCGAATCACGCGGATTCGCGACCACTTGAATCGCTCCCCCACGCGTAGCGTAGCGTCACGCGGCATGAAGCATCACTGTATCATACTGTATCTGTATCCATCTCAAACAAGTGCAAGGATGTGCAAGCTCATGTGGGGAAGGGGGGCCACCTCATGTCAAAATAAATCCCATGGAACCAGCGCGGCAACTCAAATGGTTCCCAATGTCCGTCCGACTTCTTCTGCTCTCTTCAGACTTTTATGCGACATGGTGGTCGTCCGAATCACGGAGGCCAAGACAAAAGGAGCAACTGGAGTGAAAACAGCAACACAGGGTGGATACCAAAGCAACCCTGGCAAAACAGAAGTCGCATTCAGCGCGGCGTTTTTGGTAGCATTCATCTCCTAAACTCAGGGAATATTGGCCTCCTTGAGGAGGTAAAAACGACCGAGGTCAAAGGGTCAGCCTCGTCTCCAGTCCCGTCAAGTCCCATCCCGTCGTAAAGCCTGCGCCGGAGGCGTTTCAGCTCGGCCCAAAAGCTTTGGAGATCCTCCTTCAGCTGCTGGCGTGCCTGGCGAAGTTCAGCGCGGAACAAAAACGGACTTTTGAGTTCAGCGCCAGCCAAAGAGGTTAGGTGACCTGAACTAGCACCCTACTGAGCTAGCTATGGGATAGTGGGTTCCTTAAACCAAAATTCCGACCTTCAGGCTACAACTAGCTACTCCAGTAACAAGGAGCATCACTACGAACGGAGCAAGAAGCTACTAGTAATGCCAAGCTACTAGTAGCTTCTGGCATTACTAGTAACAAATAGCTAGGGGTGGAATTGTCGGAATCTTTTGGAGCTCCCCCATCCCAGCCCATCTCCTACTCCGAGAAACTCGGTCTGGTTCCGGGTTCCGGGTTCCGGGACGCTCACGTGCACCCCAAAGGTTGAAGAACCCGACTTAGACAAGAGGATCCAGGATTCCAAGATCCTACAGACCCTATGACTGGACCCTCCAAACCCACCACAAACACCTTCTCAGTGAAGGTATGACTGGAGCCCTAGGGAGACATCTACATCCCAATGTCGGCTCCCTGATCGGTGCTCTGAACGTGCACCGACTGCCCCATGAGTGGGGTAGTGGTATCTGCCCCATGGTTTTTGGTATATTTTGCTTTGGTGTTCCACTCCATGCGGTAGCAGTCGACATGTGCTTTCTGTGTTCGCCACCTGGTTCAGGTATGTTCAGGTGAAGCATGACCAATTCAGGCTTCTACCAGTACTTCATGAACATACCTGAAGAAGGTAGGGAACCAGTACTTCAACCAGGACTGGTATGTACTTCTACGGAGGAGCTATGGCGAGAGCTTCGTGTTGAACGACGAGAAGAGTCCACCTTCGTTCTTGGGAGGGATTTTTGGTTGCCGAAAGCAGATCCAAACAGGCAAACATCCCATTTTTCACAAATCCCTGTCATATGGAGTATCTACAAGATATGTCTATTTCATCCTGTCATCCTGTCTTGCCCATCCCACCTGATGTTCAGCGCCGGCCCCGCAGGTCGCGCCTCGGCGCTGGGCCGGGCGCTCTTCACCTCCCTCAGGTCGCGCGGCGCACGACTGGAGTCCACGGCAGTGTAGCTGCGGCAGCCCTACGGTGAGCAGCGAAGGGCGACGCTGGGTCCGAATGGAGGTCTTTACCATGGACATACCAGGTAAAGAAAAACATACCATGTTTGAGGTTTTGCAGTGCGACTCTGGGGTTGTACTACCTTTTTGTGAACCATCTGTTATTATTCACATGTCAATTTGGCATCGTTTGTTGACGAAAGCGGGACTATGACCGTCGATCCATATAACTGATGTTCCTACTTCCAATTGTTTTGTTTGGAGAGAGTATCACTGCTTTAACTGGAGTATCACTGTTTTAACTGGTTCTTGTGCTTCGACATGCTCCGTACCAAAGTGTGGTGATGAGCAATGATCGCATGTTCATGCATATGCAGTAGGGCTCCTGTCGTACCTTCGTTTGGGTGGGACGACCGGGGCCCGGGTGCCAGGGTCGGGTCCAGCCATACCACCGCCGAGGTCACCGAGGTCACCGCAGTGTCGCGTCACCCGGGGCGAACGACCGGGAACCGGGCTGAAGAAGGAATTAGAGGAATCAAACACGCAGGGAAGCCTATATGGTTCCTATGGGGATGCATAAAATATGTATTATAGATCACATGAGCTCATATGTAAAATCATCTGTAACACACATTAAAAATGTCTAAATCGCGTAATACGCAATGTATACCGATTTGGTCCGACTCTAGCAAAACCAAGCACGAAGAGTGAGACTCAGCAAGACTGAGTCACCCGGAAATCGTCTTCTGCTGACTTCATGAGCCAGAATCAAGAACACAAAGGCCACACAGGGTTTTGATGATGCAGCTCCTCTTGGGTTTGCTTGAGGAAGCGTGAAAACCGCCGGCTTAGGGATTCATTTATCCAATCGGGCGGGTAAAATATGTAATAAATCACCCTAAGCATTTGTGCAGCTCCTAGGACTCCTACGTGATGGAAACGTCACGTTATGTTGCCTGGACTTGCATCAAGGACGCGAGCAGGCCCACAGGGAGCCTCCGAAGGCCATGTCCAAAACCGGAGCAAAGGGGGTTCAAGAGGCCAAGCAGGGCTAAATCTGTCCATTCTTCCCAAAGACGACTTGTCTGGGACTGGCATATGAATCCATGCATGTCAGGCTGGGCCAGAAGTCGGGTTCAACCTGGGGCGGCATATATATATATAAATATACCGTATACCATTTTAATTACATGGAGTGTCTGGGATTGTTCATTGGGTTCATTGATGATGTGCGTTCGCCTCACAACATCTCACAGCCTCACCCGGTCATGCTGTAAACCCCGAGGAGCCATACAATTGTATACAGTATATATATAATATATACTATATAGTGGTATACCCTAGCGTTCCAAAACTGTTCCAAGTACCGCAAAAGTCTTAGCCGTCTTAGCCCTCCAAAAGCACTGTGAAGCAACACCCGACCCGCAAAAGGAGGTGGTTGGAGCTCATCACGCGTTTCTACCAGTGTTGCTGTCTCATCCTGTTCCGAGGATGCCTTGTGCGACTGTTCTATGTCTGTTCTATGTGGAAATAGCCGAACATCTTCAGCTCTCCTTGAGACACACAACTCAGAGAGCATACTTACTTTACTAATCGATGACTGTAGCCTTCTTCCTCGTTTGAGGCCGCCTCAACACATGGCTGTGGCTCGAAAGATAGGTGGCGAAAGGATGAAAAAGGAACACCAGGGCTTCAGTTTGGCTTAACCTCGCATTTATGAACAATCCCTCTGCCATCCTCGCCTGAAAGGAGATAAACCTTCTCCGAACAAACAAGTCTCCATAACTCTCGCAACACATGTTGGACTTCCACAACTCCGGGAAACCCAGACCAGCCGCCAATCTGGGACCCCACGACTCATCAACTGCCACGTCCTTTTCTTTGCTCATGGCACGTCACCCACGTCGTCCACGCACTACTAAGCCCGCAGTAGGATGGAAGCTAAGTCTGTTGTGGTCCACTGCGTTGATCACCATCATTCCACCCTCTTTAAGAGGCGAAGTAGGTCAGTAGGTCAATTGTGGGGTCTTTCTTGAAGAGGTGGTCTCAGACTTCAGCCAAATCTTTCAGAAACACATACTGCACTTATACTATACTCTACTTAGTATCCCAATGCTCATGGCAAACTCTTAGTTCCTTGAAGAGTCCAAAATCCTTCACATGGGATGGCCCTACGTGGACAAGGTTTTCCGATGCACAGGTCCCTAATTACGTGGACTGCTGCCATTTATCAATGCCTCGGATGTAACTTTTGCATGCCCTCATCAGCCAAGCTTGAACAGCCAGCAGCAGAGTGTTGAGCAAAAATCATAGAAATCCAAGTCCTACGGTCCTCCGCACTGCTCTAAGTTTTCTTCGCATGAAGGCCCCCATACAGTGTGTTTCATGGGTGTTGTTGTTTTGTTTAGGGTGATGTTTATGTTTCTTACAAGATCTATGAGTGAATCCCCTTCTGGGGAAGAAGACTTGGTTCCTCGGCTTCGCCCATCCTCCGGTGCTTTCTGGGTCGATGGTTGGCCGGTTTAGTCAGGACAATGACCATCTCTGAAAGAAACGCACAGCTCCGGTGTGATGGTCTCGTCCCCCTCAGAAAGCTCCTCAAAACAAGGACAGTTGCAATGGTCTTGGAGAAGGGCTTCAAGTATGAATTTCTGGGGGGGCCTACCTCCCGAGCCGAGATCGACGGAAGAAGCCGAGATCGACGGAAGAAAGAAGATCGAAGAAGTCGCATCTTTTGGATCCAGCCGCGCCCGAATCGTCTTGATCGTCCAGATTTCATCCTCCTGAGCGAGAGGAAGAGTCTAGAGGGTTCTGAAAGGTTTGCACATTCGACACAAGTTCGCTGTGCTCTCAAAGACTTCGCACTGGCGTCAAAAACCCACCCAAGCCCAGCATGTCAGGTTGCAGGTCAGATCGAAAACAAGATGGAGCCCACGAGCCCGAATGCAAGCACGTACTCAAAAGCAAGCGCCCAAACTTTGACACTCTCTTGTAGGACGCTCTTGTGGGGCACTCTTGTAGGACACTCTTGTCGGACAATTCTTGTGGGACACTCTGGCCAAACACTCTTCTGGCACACTCTTGTATGTCACTCTTGTGGGACACTCTTGTCGGGCATTCTTGCCGGACACTGTTGTGGGACACTCTTGTAGGACACTCTTTGAATCCTCTCACGTTTCCACACGTTTCCTCACTATTCCACACGAATCTGACACGTCATGAATCCATCCAAAACCCTCTCCAAAAGCTTCGCCCAACGTCAGCGCCATAGCGCTCCACCTGCGGACGGTTGCGAATGCTCAGACAACGAGTCGCTTGTTAAGGCTCTACCCCCAGACCCAGAGTTCAACGAGAACCCTTCGCTACGCATTCGGGAAAACACGTCGAGAAGGTGCGACATCTGCCGACGGCCACATGCCAAGCCCGCTGATGTTTGGAATTCTGTTTTGGCAACCCCTTGAATTCCCATTGCATGTCACGGTGAATCGGTGAATCCATGTGAATCCTGTAGGTCTCCAACAACAAATTTAATGGGAATCAATACAAAAAGGCAAGCAGCAAGTAGAAGCGAACTTGAAATCATTCACAACCTCCGTGAGACTTGAACCACTACTCTGGCCAAAGCCCAATTAACTTCAAAGCGGAGCCAACTTGAGGATTCAAGAAGGTCTGAGACCTGTATCTTGACTAATCCTGTCCACCTATTTAAAAAAAAATAAATGCGCCCCCCCCTATTATGAAAACCTCGGTCGGATTTTAATTAGGGGGTCCCTGAAATCGGGGTGGTCCAAAATAGGGTCACCTGGGAAGAGCTTCAAAACCAAAAAGTCACGCAGGAAATTGTTGCATAAAATTCGTTATTAAACTCGTATCAAAAATTCAAAAACCTCCAAATGGAAGGGTCTTCCCTTTTCCCCTACAAAATCCTCTATTGCATGGTTGCTTTTGGAACTATATTAAAATAAACTACACCCAACATCGACCATGTTCGTAGTTACTAAAAACCAAATTTAGGGTTTCGGACATTGTGTTTTCTATTTGGGGAGGCTTTTTAAAATAGGTACTCGGGATTATGTTTCAAAGCTCCGCATGTTTGGCAAACATACAAAACATGTGTATATATAATTATACAGTAATAACAAACACATTTAGTTGCACTATGCAATTGCGAGTGAACTGCGCAGGTTTAAAACATGTTAAAACATTGGTGCGTTGATACTTATTGTGTTGATCGTTCAACATTGGTCTGTATGCCAATCAAGCATCCAAGATCCGAAAAAACGACAGTAGAACAAAGATATTGCAACCACCTCATGTCCAGATCAATCACCTGATGTCCCAGTGGCGTCCCCCTCCCTGCCAGTGAGACCAACCGATCGAATGCTCCGGACTCCTCATTCGTCTCGGACGTTCTCCGTCTGAAGGCCCTTGAAGCTTTCCACTGGCACGTGCTGCACCAAGGTGAACATCTTCTCCTGGAGAAGGACCAAGGTCGACCCAAAGGCACCAAAAGCCCTTGGCCAGGAGAATTCTGGAACTTTCATTGGGCTGTGGCTCGTGGCACCAGGAGACTGGTTCCGGATTATTCCCTACCTGGTCTGTGGACCAGTCGTTCGCGGCAGATAGTGGACGACCATCAGGTGAACCACATGGTCTTTCACGACATTTCACCTCCATCATCAGTGGTGAAACCATCAGTTTGATGGCTTCACCTCCGACCAGGTTTGACCCGGGCCATCTCCATTTGGATTTGGGGTGGCTGCCAGGAGGGTCCAGTCGTGCCTTCTGAGAAGGTACTTACTTGGATCCCAAACGGGGAGCATGTGCAAACACCATCGTTCGCTTGTCTCCACGTTCCGTGCCGCCGGAGCTCGGAACGGGAGCGGTCGGGATATCTCGGGCAGAAGATGGTGGAAGTCCATCCTGTGTGGCTCAGGATGGAGTGGTTCTGAAATAAAGCCTGGCAGCCTGGCATGGTTCAGACCTGTTCGGAAGGAGGATGAAACATGGGAGGCTCAAAAGGGCCGAGAACACCCCGCTTCAAAGAGTTGGAAAAAGACACGGCGCGAAGATTCCCCCAAACAGCCGGGGAATTCCCTGGTACAAGGTGTACACTCCCGAGTCAACTAACATAGACCCTGACGTCCTGGCCCCCTGGAAGAGTGTTTTCCTCTACCAACCAGTGGTTTTCAGGGTCCATGGGATCGTCTTCCAAGGTGTATTTCAAAAACCAGTGCTTTTCCAGGGCTTGAACATAAGGATGTCAAAACCCCGGATGCTTTGGTTGACCAATATGCTTTGGTGACGGTCAAGCTATAGAAACCGATGGTGTTTGGGACTCCAGGTTTTGACCCGCTAAAACAGGTCCAAATCGGCCTTGGTATAGGGGGGTGAGCTTGAGATGCAAAACGATGTCCTTGCACCACGACATGTCTTGCGTTTTTGAAGGCCAGTGGTAGACTGGCTTTTGGAAGACTGCGTTGAATGTTGCGTGCCCAACAAATTCCTGACAATGGCCGGAGATAGTTCTACCGGATTCGCGGATTTGCCGTCTTCTTCCGTGAATCCTCCTGAGGTAGAAAGGTTGCACCAGGTGCTTCTAGGTACAAATGTTTCAGCCATGAAGGCAGTTGAGTCCATCTTAACACCTCAACTCAAACAAAATTTCCTCCAAAACAGTGTGTTTCAGCGGTGATATATTACTGATATATCAGACCTCATGTCACCATTGTCACCATATTACAGATTCGGACACATGTCTGACGGATGTTCATTTCTGCAAAAGAAACACTACCAGGACTAGGTGTCTATAAATAGCCTCGTAACGAGGTGATTCGGGGTATCCAAAAACCACCGGACTTGGAATGTCCGGGTAGAAGAACTTAACGGTTTTGAGATGCGAGATGAGTTGGGTTTTTAAGGCCAGGAGCTACTAGTAGCGTCCTTGCTCCTAGTAGCGATGGCCTCCAACCTAATTATATAATAGCAATGGCCTCCACCTAGTAGCGTCCTTGTTACGGTTTTAAACTGTTCTAAAGGTAGGTCCTGGTAGGTCCAAACTTGCACAGCTATGCACAGCTGGCTCCTTGGCATCCTCATCCTCATTGCGTTTTCGGGAAAGGCGCACGCGCACGCGCCGGGGCACGTTGCGCACGCCGTTGCTCCACAGGAACTTGTTCAGCTTGGTGTCCTTGGTTCGCACGGGGGCACGTGTCTGGGGCTGTTGCCAACATGGAAACCGCGAGAATCGAACAACACTAGCAGTTCCAAACGAGATGGGTTTTTAGATGTTTGTAGACCTGAGAGTGGATCATGGACGAATGGGTACTCGGGTACTCCTATCCTCCATGGATAGCACCCAACTCCATGGAACTGCTGAAAGGAGAAGGCCATGGCCATACCAGACCGATCGCGATGAACATCTATGGCCACAAACAAAGGTTGCAAGGTGTTGTAAAACAAAAGCATATCATAACATATCCATTGAGTCAATCCTCGTCTCGCCAACTCTTGGAAGAAATGGGAAAACATTGTCCACGAAACTTAAATAGATGGACCTCCCAGTTGCAGTGGTCACATTCAATGTGTGGGAAAACTGCGGGACCCCGCTTTACCACCCTGGTCTAACAATGAGCGGCTTACGGCTTGCGCTTATCTCACGTTTGCTAGTCACAAAAATCAATGAGTTCACACATGCACTTTGGTTCAGGTTCAACACTGTAATACACATATCAGCACACACACGCACGTGGGGTGGCAACCGTGATCTCCGAAGATGCATTCACTGGTTCGGTGTCAACCGACAGGTACCATGGTTTTTCTGCAGATCTCACGGATCTCAGATCTATTGGGGTCGTATTACCCCGACATTCAGATCTATTGGGGTCGT